ACCGGAGCCCTGCGGCCCGTCTGGGGGTGCTCGGGGCTCCCCGCACCCCAAATCGGGCGCTGCCACGAGGGAAAAGGAGTTCAGCAACCGCGTGCGGGGGAAAGATCCCTTCCCGCGCTCTTTCGCCCCAAGACCCGGCCGGGGGAGCCGCCTCCCCACGCCCCAGCGAGGCGCTGCCTCATCCTTTCCCGAATCCGGCCCGAAAGGTCACTGCCAAGGACGTCCGCAGGCTGAGGAAAGTTGCTTATTCACTGCCGAGCCCCGAGCGGCCCTCGGGGAGCGCCAGGAGCGGGAGGGGGCTCTGCCTCTCCCAGAATAAAACTGGAGGGACCTGGGGATCCGGTGGGAGCTGGCCGGGCGCGCTCCAGGGCAGCTGCCGGCATCAAGCACCCCTCCGGGAGCTGAGCTGCTGGGAGGCCGGCACGCTCCGGATTCAGAAAGCTCCGGAATCGGGAAGCTGGGGCTCGGCAGTGCCGTAGGTGGCTGAACACAATCCTGACCCGGCTGTAACCGGAGCTTAACTGGTAAATGCCTGGAATTCCAGGCGAAAAGCCCGGCGCGGCACAAGGCGAGGGCTGCGTGCGCCGCGGGAGGCCGCCGGCTTAAGGGGAGGCTTTGTGCTCGGCCACGGCTCCGGTGCCCAGCTTAGTGTGGCTGCGGCTCTGCCGAGGGCCAGCGGCTCCGGAAGGAAGGGCCGTGCCGCGCCGCACCGCCCTGACGGCCTCCCGCGCTCTGTCCCCTTCCCAGATAAAATCTGCGACCAGATCAGCGACGCCGTGCTGGACGCCCACCTCAAGCAGGACCCCGACGCCAAGGTGGCCTGCGGTGAGTCGCTCCCCGGGGACGCGGGGTGACGCCAGCTCCGTGCTGGTGACGTCAGCGCTGACGTCCTCCTCTTTCCCTTCAGAAACAGTTGCAAAGACGGGGATGATCCTGCTGGCAGGGGAGATCACCTCCCGGGCCGCCGTCGACTACCAGAGGGTGGTCCGGGACACCATCAAGCACATCGGTTACGACGATTCCTCCAAAGGTATGTGCCGCGGGGGTCACCGGCTCGCTGCCGGCGCGGGGTTTGGCGCGCCGGGCTCACCGCAGCCTCCGCTCTGCCCCAGGCTTCGACTACAAGACGTGCAACGTGCTGGTGGCCCTGGAGCAGCAGTCGCCTGACATCGCCCAGGGCGTCCACCTGGACCGGAGCGAGGAGGACATCGGCGCCGGGGACCAGGTGGGTGCCCCCCGTGCCGCGTCAGCCGCTGCGGCTCAGCCGGAGGGGTCGCGGCTTCATCGCCCCCCTCCCTCTGCCGCAGGGCCTGATGTTCGGCTACGCCACGGACGAGACGGAGGAGTGCATGCCCCTCACCATTGTCCTGGCCCACAAGCTGAACGCCAAACTGGCCGAGCTGCGGCGGAACGGCACCCTGCCCTGGCTGCGCCCCGACTCCAAGACGCAGGTGAGGGCCCCGCCGCCTCGGGGGGTCCCCAAAACGGCTCCGAGCCCCCAGCCCTCCCACCTGACCGCCCCGCGTCCCCCCGCAGGTGACGGTTCAGTACATGCAGGACCGCGGCGCCGTCATCCCCATCCGGGTGCACACCATCGTCATCTCGGTGCAGCACGACGAGGAGGTGTGCCTGGACGAGATGCGGGACGCGCTGAAGGAGAAGGTGATCAAGGCGGTGGTGCCGGCCAAGTACCTGGACGACGACACCATCTACCACCTCCAGCCCAGTGGCCGCTTCGTCATCGGCGGCCCCCAGGTAGGGCGAGCTTTTCCTTTCCCGCTTGAGGCCGTGCCGGCGCGGCGGCGGCGCGGCGGTGACGGCGTTGTCCCTCGCAGGGCGACGCCGGTCTGACAGGCCGCAAGATCATCGTGGATACCTACGGGGGCTGGGGGGCCCACGGCGGCGGGGGCCTCTCCGGGGAGGGGTTCCACCAA